GAAACTAATTTCAACAGTTAATGAAAAAGTCTCAAGAGAAGAGGATTCTATTGTTCGAAACCCAACTAAGAAAACATTCATTAAGTCTATTCAGTTTTTGCGAAAACCACGTGAATTGAAAACTAAGTTTGTTAGTTACCTCGCACGTCGGCATTACGCTATATATAGCGTAATGCCTCCGTTCTCGGTAACTAACTCTTACTTATGTTTACAGGGCCCAAGTCATTCAAATATTAGTGCACAACTGGTACTAACTATGTTTTTTTTATATTTAAGTTCATCGACCCACCGCAACGAAAAAATGTTTTAACTGGTAAAGTTATCAGAATTCCTATCAAATGCAGTGGTATTACCTGGTTTCCTTCCCAGTGTGTGGCTATGAAACTGAAAGGGAAAGTAAATTGTATGTATTTTCCTGGTAATTGGTTAGTATATCTTATTAATTTTCTTTAAAACATTTTCTTGAACTTCTTACTGCCATTATGGACGTTATGGAGGTATACTTGGAAAATAGTGCTTTATCTTAGATCCAGCAATATCAAGGGAAATAAGCAATATTTTCTTCTAAAAACAAAACGGATTGATGTGAAATGCGATGAATAGAAGTGTAGGTTGTGCAACTGCAACTTGTTTCGCGTGGTCGCTAGGTGTAGGCTTGGTACGTAGCGTTTTACGAAATAGAATGCAGTGATACTCTTCGAAACACATTGTAAACAACTTAAAACGCTCTCGTCGTATCCGGAGGATGTACTCTATAGGCGCATGCRCAATTTCTCTACAATCTCACATTGTCCACCAAGATATTACGTGAGTCAAGTTGCTGAGGAAGGTGTAATATCAACTTATGATTCCGTGTATATCACAATACCTTGTTCTATCTGATTAGTGTTTTCTTTTAATTCCTAGGCTTATTAGTCAATGAAACACTCCCAACTCTATCAACAATAACAACCACAGAAACTACTGTAAAGGTAAGTACCATTTTATGACTCGTTATTTGGAACTTTTCATTCAAGCAAAGTTTGTGGCTGCTGGTGAGGTGCGGTGAAGTGCSCACTCCCCTTGAGTCCTTGTTTCCCTCAATACTTTTCCTTATCTTATGTCTCCTTTGTGTTTTTTTTTTGTGTTTGTCGAGTGCACCCACTCCTGAGTGCCCTGCACCCCTCTCTGAAAAAAATCCTCGATCCACYCCTGCATGGGAAGAAAATTGTGAAGTATATAATAGTTCCAGCCATTTCAGTCATGCATAATCACATACAATTGAGCTATGATAAACGCCGAATTGGCTTATATAATGAACGTGTTAAATGCTAATGATATKAAATATTCTTCGCTTGCATAGAGTACCACCACAGTTTTATCATCAATTACCAAGCCAAAGAAAGGGTCCACTTCCGCTGACCTTACTGCCATGATCGCGGGCTCAGTAGCTGGTGGAGCTGCCTTTGTTATCCTAATCGTCGTGATCATCGTCGTTGTTGTATGCATTCTTAGAAGGAAAGCTAAGACAGCAAAGTATGTAAGGCTTCAATGCTATCAATTAAATCGCCTCGCGTTTCAGGAAAAAAACGTCTCTCGGGAAACAATAGATTCTTGCTCCCAAGAGAACTAACSTTTCGCATTTTCCCCGTGCCAAAAATCAGGGGCCCCTTGATTTTTTGCATATACAKTATTACTTTTGAAGAGTTCTATAATGATTATAAGTTTGCTTAAGTGATTGTTAATATAACTATTTTAATGCTACATTAATTTTCTATTAATGGTGATTTCATTTCTTTTAATATTTCAGAAATAGTCAGCGAGGACAAGGTGAGTTTAAAACTACAAGCTTAACACGTAAAATCAATATTTTTTCCAAAAAGGGCAAAGGAGGATGAGTGGTTTGAAGGACAGACGTACAGGGTCTCCAAATAAAAGTCGGTTCTTTCAGCTAGTGTAAAACATCTCGTGAAAATGTTTTAATGGCTTTAATCTACTATTATTTATCTTTATAGAAAATCTTGCGTATGAAACATCCATGACGATGTCAAAACCAAATGTCACGCGTCCGCTACCAGAACCACCGGGATGGCCTTACTCTTCAATGCAGCGAGGTCCTTCATCGATCATWCATACACCTAATGGCACAATGGCAGCAAAACTTGGTTCGTACATAAAACTTTGTTGTAATWAGAAGAATTCATTTCTTAGTCGGTTTACTTTCCTCAATGTTACAGTCGACGAGGAATGTCCTCGATTAGTTTTAGCTCAAGAATCATTGCATTTTAAAGAAAGAGTTTTATTAGACTGAAAGAAACGTTTTTTAAAGAAAATGAATGAAAATTCGTCATTTTCTTTACAGCTCCAAGTACCACCAATAGTCTTTCTCCAAACGAAGAACCGCTGTACGGAACCATCGACGATTCACCTTATAACGAAAGCACCTACAGTAGACTTGACCACAGTAAACAAACAATTCCCCTGGACATGCCAAACAAGAACAACCATCTTTTACCACCAAATACGCACTTCATGAACGGCGCGCCTCACAGCAAATCATCAACACTTAAGAGCGACGGATCCGGTTATTCTGGTTTTATGCCGTACGATCTCGTTGGCGGTAAAATTGATGCAACGCTTCCAAGACGACAGTCGACATTTATGCAGACTCCTGAAGATGGAAGGATTAGTCCAGCGTCCAGAGGATACGATGTACCAGAAGGTGTGATCAGAGATACGTCATCTCCACAGATGCCAAGAAGTGGTGTCGGCTTTGCGGGTCCAAATAAGTTACGGTCGTTAGATCGAAGGTCACGTGAACGTTATCCAATGGAGAATTACGAAACCGTGTGGGATGACAATACTGACGATGAATTTGTAACAAAGATTGACCTAACTTAACTTAAAGTTGTTGGCTTTGATTCAAATTAAGCACTTATGATAAACTATATACAAATGACAATTCGGTTCATTAGCATATCACTAGCATAAGAATATATTCTTCGCCTTTGCAGGCTACGTCACAGCGGCCATCTTGGAGGAACTTTAACAAAGGATTTCTCATTAGTATCTATTGTTCATTCCCTCAACATGGCCGCCGGTCTTATATCTTTTGAATCTCATTGGAATGGTTGAAAAAGATCAATAGAGGATATTACATGGTCGCGCTGAGATACGGTTTTTATCTTGGAGTGTTGAAAAGATCTCTCGCCCAGTGAGCGTTGCGAAATTCGTATCTCCAAGCGACCACGTGATTCTGCTTATCATATAATTGGAAAAACAGAATACACTTTTGTTTTATTTCAAATTTTTCATGGTGCATTGTTTTTACAGCAGTTTTATAACACTGAATACTTTGACACTGCATTGGGTACTGCCGAGAAAGAAAGGGCATTCTTGCTACTGGATCCAAACAAAAGAGCTGTTACAAAATGACAATACTCTAAAGTAAAAAACAGAACTTGTATTTGTCATGTTTAAAGAGTGAAATCCACTTTTAGAGCGGTGATGCGACAACCAACAGTGCCATTAGGTCTTGGAAAACACTATCTTCAGTATCCAATGTTTCTGAAACAGCTGTATAAGAACAATATAGATTCGTGGCTTTGAATTCAAGCAGTGATAGGGRATTTTATATATGATCAACTTAAGAACACTTTCCATTCGTATTTTGGAGAGAGTATCATATATAAAATTTGACTGATTCGAAAAATGGTGATAATACCGACGGCCCTCTTTAACCGCAAAACCGATTTTTCCATGGAAAAGTATCAGTTTGGAACAATATTCCATTTTCCAGTTCCAAGCACCATCTTGAAAGATAGATAAGCCTTTGCATCAAAGCGTTGCAGAATTAGAGCTTGCAATTATAGATACCTGTGAAAAGTATATTGAGTGTCAACAAACGTTGCTGTCTCGTTGATGTAAAAGCTTGTGTACCTTTAAAGATGTCTTGGGACATCTAAAATGTACTGTTATTTAAATTGGTCCTTAATCTTTCTAAACGCATTTTTTTTTTTCTGTGAAAATATTTTCACAGTTATTTTAAACAAGTTTGTCAGAGGGTAAAATAAATGCACCACTGAAACTTGTCGTTTCTCATGTTTTATAAAGCCTCAAAATCAAGCGCAGATGATTTGCGCGCAACATTTTCATTACATGTTCCTTTTCGAAACCCGAAAAATGCCCCAAACTAGTCAATTTTTGATCAAAATGCTTGGGCTAGAGCTCACCAAAATGGCCAAAAATGACCGATTTTTGTTCAAAATGCATGGTGTATTACCCACCRAAATGGCCAAAAATGACCGATTTTTGATCAAAATGCAAGGGCCATAGCTCACCAAAATGGCAAAAAATGACCGATATTTGATCAAAATGCATGGGCTATAGCCCACCAAAATGGCCAAAAATAACCGATTTTTGATCAAAATGCATGGACTATAGCCCACCAAAATGGCCAAAAATAACCGATTTTTGAACAAAATGCATGTAGTATAGCTCACCAAAATGGCCAAAAATGACGATTTTTGATCAAAATGCATGTAGTATAGCTCACCAAAATGGCAAAAAATAACCGATTTTTGATCAAAATGCATGGTTTATTACCCACCAAAATGGCCAAAAATGACCGATTTTTGATCAAAATGCAAGGGCCATAGCCCACAAAAAAGGCCAAAAATAGCCGATTTTTGATCAAAATGCATGTAGTATAGCTCACCAAAATGGCCAAAAATGACGATTTTTGATCAAAATGCATGGGCTATAGCTCACCAAATTTGCCAAAAATAACCAATTTTTGATCAAAATGTATGGGCTTTTGCCCACCAAAATGGCCAAAAATGATCGATTTTTGATCAAAATGCAAGGGCCATAGCTCACCAAAATGGCAAAAAATGACCGATTTTTGATCAAAATGCATGGGCTATAGCCCACCAAAATGGCCAAAAATGACCGATTTTTGAT